ACAGACGCCAGAGGCCGGGGTGGCACGCGAGGCAGACTCCCGGGGGCATCCGCGCAGACCCCACCGCACGGCCGCCGCAGGGGAGACCCGCGCGCTCGCCTGTGGCCTCCGCACCGGCCAGTTCGAGCCAGAGTGAGAAACCTGCTACGCGGAACGGGAATATTACAGACGTAACTAGGAATTGTCCGTATAATTACACCGTAATAAGAGTGGATGACTTTAGCCCTATAATTTGACCATGCATTTGAGTCCAGAAAGGCCTCTCCTGCCTTTCTTCCAGAGGGGGCAGGAGAAGTGGGGCGAGGGGGAGCATTTACAGATGTGCCCCGCAGCCTTCTGAAAGGGGACGTGATCCTGGTGACCCTGGAACTGTGCTGAGCGTGCCCCCTGCGCCCCTGTGGTGCCCGAGCAACGGGAGGGTCGGTCAGAGGCAGCCTGCCCGTCTCTGCCGGGAGACTTGCCAGAGACCCTTTCGCCATGCAGGAAGTTGATAGGGCAAGCCACCTAGAGTCCCTTTATTGTGAGACGGGCAGCTGTATCAGTGTGATAAAGAAATAGTCGATTTCTCCCTGTCCTTCTGCCTGAGAAAACGTGGCCTTTGTATGAGCCAGGCTGGGGGAGATTCTCCCTGCTCTGTCTTGGGCAAGGAGAGTGACTTCTGCGGGAAAGAACCGATCGGGGAAGGAGGGCTTTTCTGTGCGGAGCTTGGCACAAGGTTGACCCTGCAGATTCAGAGAGGTTCTTGCTGGGTATTATAATTGGCCTCCTTTGGGGGGAGTGGAATTTCAGGCTGGATTAGGACCCTCATCTCTGCATTAGGAGGACGATAGAAGTCAATGAAGACAGAGGTTAGAAGGACCGGGGGCTCCCTCCCACTAGATGAGAGGAAATCTCAAAGATCGCAACAGCAAAGTGAGGAGGGGGGATGAACTGACATTTTCCACACCATTGTACAAATCTGCTGCATGGCTCAGCTGCAAATCACGGCCCACGGCATGGGAATAGAGTATGGTCTTTGCAGGGAAGAAGCCTCCGTGGTGGTGATCTCTCGCTCCAGTCCCTTCCTGGGCTGCAAGGAGACGACGGTGGGTGGCTTTGGAGCAGCTTTCTGACCCTACGGGAAGGCCTGCACAAGATCCCCCTCGCCAAGGGACAGGGAAGCCCAGCCTGGGTGGGAAGGACCTAGAATGCCTCCTGGCGGCTGACCCACATATAAGCCTTTCCCGATGAGGACTGAAGCCGTGGGGGGGGGTCCCTCCGAGAGAAAAAAAGAGAAAATGCTCAGGGCCGAACGAACCCTCAGTGCTTCGGTGCGCCACAAAAATGGTAGGAAGCTTTCCTTTCCCAAGGAGCACTGAACACGAGTCCTCAAAGAAAGATTTTATTTGCAGAAACTGATTCGTGTCTCATTCTATTGGCTAACTAGGCTGATCCCATGGGATCATCCAGAATTTTGATGTAACTGTGATGGGCTCGAAAACAAAAAATAGGAGCAAATGTAGGAGTCTGTAACATTGCTAACAAGGACCTTTAGTGCTGTTAAAAAAAGTTAGTGCTGTTTCTAGCTTTAGCAGAACATACTACAGAATACAGAATACTTTAATGGCCAAGTATAAAATATATACAAGGGATTTGTCTTCAATGACGAACAGCAAGAGCAACAGCGCGTTTGGATAGCAGCAAAAAAAAGAGAGACCCTGCCAATACAGTGAGAAACAGTGTGGTGCTTAAGGTAGTAAACTGGCATGCGGGAGGCACAGGTTCACCCCTCTCTGCCCAACCTACCTCACAGGGTTGTTGTGTGGAAAACGGGAGGAGAAAGTGATACATATGCTTCCCAGAGCTCTTGAATGTAAGGAGGGATATAAACCTAATCAACACACAAATCCATATGCTGTATGTATAGCCCACATTGTGAGACATAATTAGAGAAGAACAGCAAACAAGTTTTCTCCTTCTCCACATCAGGCATCGTTTTATGCATTATGCATCCTCTGGTGCAGTTAGATTTGTGGTTTTCATCCCTCCCAGAGGGCTTTGTCTAGAAGGTGGCATAGTGACAGCTTGGCATCATGACCCCAATGATGTGTAATCATTACATTAAACTGTTGGGAAAATTCAGAGAGTGGTTTGGAATGAGTGGCATCATTTACGCCCTGTGAGACACATTTGTTTGTTGCTTTATTTACATTTATTGACCGCCCAACTCCAGTGGACTCTGGGCAGCAGAGTTAGGTGGGCAATTTAGTTCTGTTGCTCACCTAATGCCAAGGAAGCAGTGTTAGGCATTTTACTTTTAGGCATTTCCGACATTTAGTAAGGGGCTGGATAAGAGTGAACCTAAAATGCAGTCCAAACAAAGCAGATGTGTAGTCTCGGCAATTTAACTGTTCTGAACTGTTCTTCTCCCTAAAAGGAGCCGGTCCTTATTTTGGGAGTCTTTGTTGATCCTGCTATTCCTGGATCTGCAGGTAATAGAGGTGGCACATGAAGTGAGTGCATTCACTGGTGTCAAATGCATTGGCTGCACATACTTTATCAGCTGGTCAGGTTTTGCAAGGAAGTCTCTCTGGAAGAGCATCAGAAAATTCCAGCTGATGTGAAGTATGACAACACCACTAATTGGCACCCAGAATCTAATTGCAAATTGCTTTCTGCTCTCAATTCAAAGTGTCAGGTTTTAATCTTTAAACATGGGTACACAATTTATGGTTCTCCAGATACTACTAAAATATATCAGGATACTGAGGGTTGTAATTCAGCAACATCTGTAAGGTCACGTTGTATACCCACAATTCTCTGAAGGACAGTCTACCTTGATATGAACCTTTTTCTAGACATTAAAATCTACAAACAGGGCCTTTCTGAAAATACCACTCTTTGTACTTAGGGCCTTCTCTGTGTTGTTCCATTTGAAATTGTGTGATTCATTGGTCCCGTACTCTCTGCAAGTTTAGAAAGGCATCTGTATATCTTTTTTTGATCTACAAACCATGAATTTGTATGAACACCTGGTTTCCTTCAGGTTTATCCCCCAACTAGTATGCTGTCTCTTGAAAACATTTGATCTAAAAGTCAAATGAGGCAAAAGGAATGCTCTGGAAAGTGATCTTTTATAAAGCAATTTTAGAGGTAGGAAGATGACTTTTGTGGCTTTTCAGCTTGCCTAGGAGACCTTTTTCCCGGGTCCACCTTTGCTGACTCTGCAGAGATGGAGCTGTTGCCCCGTCAGAATGCCACTGCTACCCCCAGCAGCAGCAGGAGAAGATAGAGGGGCGCTTTCTCCCTTTGCACTGACGTCAGTCCTACAAGCACAAGCAGAGTTTCTGGACCAGGAGCAAAATGCACAAGGAGGAGGAGGGCACAGTGCACATTTCAAGCTCTGCTATTATTAGACCAAGCCAGGAACATTATCATGGATCTAAACCCAGCTTCTGTCCTGTCACCATCAATATGCACAAGAGCTCTCCAAGGAAGCCTTCAAAGGCATTGAAACCATTAAAAACAGCAAGTGAAGGGGGAGATTTTGTTAAATGCTAATAGTGAATTCAAGCAAGAAAAAAAACACTCTTGTGTGACAGCCAAAATACCAATGCGTTTGGCAGGCAATTGGAAAGTTTTCTAGGCAACAGGAGAGGAGGCTCAAGGAGGTCTCAGATGTCTCTCAGTTCAGCATAGCTGCAAGGAAGATGGTGGTCTGACTCAGATCACCAATTTGATCTGGTCACTGCCACAGAGAGAAAAGCATTTGCTAATTCAAAAAGTCAGTGACACAGCTATTGTGGCACCAGTTCGAGCCAAGGAGCAAGCTCAAATCCTGCGGCCAGAGAAGCCACAGCGGGTGTCGCCATGGGATCAGGATCCTTCCTCCTCAACTGCCTCAGGTCCACCTGAGACCATGCGCAGAAGGCAAGGCAACCTGGGGACGGGCTCTGAGAAAGAGGCGGATACTCTCAAAGGCCCGTGTGAAAAGTCTGTTTCACCTCAATCCGTCACCTTGCTTCAGCAGTTCTCCAAAGCAGCACTTCTGTTTAAAAATTAGATTGTTCCACACTGAGAGGCTTCAGATTAAAATAGGCCATCTTGTATTTGGTCAGCCATTCTGATCCAGTGGAAAGAGGCTTCTGTGCGTGTGCAGAAGTCCATTTTATCATCTAGACGGAAGCAGACTCCATCCACTGCTTCAACAGGGGGCACTTTTTTCTTTAACTCTTCTATAGAAGAGTTTGAAGCATCACCCATTCTTATGTGGTATGTAAGCTTAGCTCACACCACCACAGAGATGGGGAAAAGTTTGTTAAATTCACAACCAAATGCAAACTAATCTGATTTTGCACTTTTAACCACTACGCTGTGAAGCTATGCTATTGTTTTTATTTCTGCTATGCAATTTGCTGTTTTTGCTGCTATGAAAATATGCTATTTTTCTGTATTATGAAAAATCTGTATACAAATGTATGGATGTCTCATATTCATGTAAATAACATGCAGGAATGCAGATCAGGGAAATCCATAAGGGAGAATTGTATACCAAAATGTGTATGTTTGGGGAGTTATGCATAAAAATACATACAAATGTTAATGTGAGCTTTAAAAAACCTTCACACATTCCTACAGACTCCTTTATAGGCTCATGGTGTGGTTATTGCTAGCATACTGAATAAAACATCCTGGTTCCTTGGTTATGTGTAGTTTGTCTGCCTTAAATTC